TAGAGAAATCGACTAAAACACCTAATAATTTTTTCAACGAGAAAAAAAAATGAAACCACGTTAAGTCGCAGCGTGGGTTTCGTGTCGCGATTCGTTATGAGAATGTATGTTGCTCAGGAATCCTAGTCTTGTTTGTGGTGCTTGCGTTTGGGAGTGGGGCGCTTACGTTCGTAGCGCTCCGGGGGTTGATGTTACTGTAGCTCCTCCAGCCAGCTCTCTTCTATACTCGTTTCTCAGCAGAAGACCACGACGAAGACGATGAAGAAGAATAAGAAGAAGCGATTAGGGCCTTGGCTTCACGCCAGGGTCTTTCTCATGTGTATGTGCCTCTTTCTCTCTGTGCTCTGGCCTGCTTTCCGCGTCAAGGTTTCTCTTTTCTTTTTTTTTTCCTCCTGTCCCTGGTTTTGGATCTATGCGAGAACTTTTCCCTCCCCCCCGCGAATATTCGTTCATTCTGCGGAAAAGGATGTTCTATAGATTAGCACCGAAGAGATTTTTGCCTTTATGATTTTACATTCCGATGGATGGCCTCTGTTGCTGATGAACAAGAGAGATCGATGATGGTTACGACCCCGTGGAGTTGGTTTTGTACGGTAGGTTACTTTTTCCGAGGGTTAAAAGAGTTCTTTGGAACCGGATCCTAAGCAAACAGCTGTTTTTATTTTATTTTATTGCAACAGTATTATTTTTCCCTCAAATCATGACTCAGGAAAGTGAAGCGTCCGTGTCATTTTTTTGGGGTTTTTCTATTGAGTTATGGATGCATTACTTCAATTCTTCAAGTACTGTATCTCCCTGATATGGATACCCATTGACAAATCTGTACGGGAAAATTCCGTAATCCAGATTTTTAATGCCACCTTGCAGTGAAAAAAAAAACTCGTGCACCGCATCAAAAATGTCAAGTTGATGAAAATGTTGTGCTCTTCGTGTTTTTGATGAAGGACTTCAAATTTTTTGAAGGAAATTCACTGGCTGTCCTCGTTCATGCTGGTTGTTTTTCCGCGGCTCTTCGTTACTAAAATACGTGTTTCTTGTTGGGAAATACAAAATATGAAAGTTCGAGAAGATGATGAATAATGGACATTAGTTGGGGATTTCGTTGCGATTGTATATTTTTCGAAGATGTTGGAACAACCGAGTGCGAAAAGAGGTACATTGTATTTTCAAAGTTAATCATAATGTCCAGCAAATCAGAAGGGGAAAAACCACGCAAATTAAAACAATTTTATCGCCGGACGGCTGTATTGGAAAACTGTAAATCAGCTTTAAAAGCTCCAAATACTCCAATCAGAGACAATTTCGAAGTTCCGTGTTTTATTCATGAATAAATCTTGTTTGAAAAAAAAATTAGAAAGTGATTCAATGCTATACGTTTTACGCAACTCAATTGCAATTTAAAGAAGTGAAAGAAACTTCGCTCCTGTGCGATTAAACTTTTCTGCAAAAATGTACAGAGATGATCGTTCAGTTGGGTTTCGCTCAGTTTTCCCCGGCGCTGAGTGGGACTACGCTCAGTTGGGCGGTTCGCCGACATGAATAGAGCGGGTCGATCAGGATGTTCCTCGTAGCTGCTTCTTAAAATATCGACCGTGTCCCGAAAAAGCGAGGGAATATTTCCCGGTTGCGTTTAATTCGAAGTCGGGGCTAACAAAATTTCTCGCTCTAGATCCGCGTACGTGTTTCTATTTTTGTTCTCTCTCTCTTTCTCCTTTCCCGGGTTTTCATCTTATTTCGAATACAGCTGAGAAAAGCCGGGAAGAACCCGAGTCGTGAATCCCTCGTGAGTGTGTGCGTTGAAGAGTGTATTTCGAGTAGGAGAGAAAATATTTTCAAGACCGTGCACACTTTGGCTGAATATATGTGGGGCATCGCAAAAGTTCCTGTTTTCTTTGGTTCGGGTCTGAAATTTTAGCGGATGGTTCTATTTTTGAGGGGGTTTCGACTTTTCAGCGTCGCGTAAAAATATAAGTCCCAAGAATATCGAATTCATGCTTGTGGAGAAAAAAAAATTTGTACCATTGTGTGACATTTTTTCCCCCCGTTGGAGGTGAGATTTTGATATTTACAGAAAATAATATGCTTCCAACAATTAATTTGGGTTTTTATTTTTCAAGATTTGTCTGAAAATTATTTCAAGGAAAATGAATTGTTTGTCTGAGAAGAAAAACATGTTGGACCTGCTAGGACTAATTGTTCTCTTGTAAGAGAATATGTGCAAATTATTGGGGGTAGTGAAGGATTCCCCCAATGCTTGTTAACATTGGAACTTATCATTGATTTTCTGATGAACCCATTCCAAACTTAATGTCAAACCCTTGCAGTTCCTGCCACTGGGTGACAACATAAGAAGAGAATAGAAAAGATGCAAGAAAATGGATAATTTTTAAGAATAAGTCAGCTCGTAAAATAAAACAATGGACTTTGAATATAATTCCCCTTCCAATATTCCAAGAACCAGAAGCAAATTCCAGGAATCTGCAGAATAATTATAATTGGCAGATATATAAGAGTATATTCCTTTCCTGGTGCTGTCCTGACCCAACCTTTGAGGTTTTGCAATAAGGAGACTCATCCCTTCACCTGCCCTCTCACCTTGGTGCTGCTTCTACACGAGTACTTGCTCAGGTGCACAAATATGAATGGATGATTTTCAATCTAATCCATGATATTTTGAGTATATAAATCCCTGCAGAATCCTACCAGGCATTAGTGCAGTGACTTTCAGTGAGACTGCTGTGTCGGGAAACGCTGTGTGTTGCCTTGTCCCTTAGTCTGGTGTAATTGTGATTCTGTACCGAAGAACAGTACAATAAAGACTATTTTTGTCTGAAAGGCAAAGACTTTCCAAGTCATTTCCCCTTCACAGCTCTCATCAAAGGAGATGCACAAACATAAAAGTTTTCATTTTTGGAGAAAATGAGGATAACATGCTGTTCATTGAAAAGTTTGAATCTTATTACCAGAGGAAGAACTATTCGGTACTGTCTCACTTGCCTGTTGTACATGAGGTTGTTCGAGTAAATTTCCTTGTCTTGGGAGAGATGACCTAATTCATGGAAAAAATATGCTGTAATCGAGTTCTTAGAAAATAATGCGAAATATTGAAAGGGACGAAGGATTCCTACAGTGCTATTTTTTTTAAAATTTTTAAATTTCATTTGAGGCAGAATAATGTGGCGTAGGAGGACGATTTCTTCGCTCTTGTCGGGATTTTTTTTTTCTTTGGATTTATGACTTGATATTCGCGGAAATATGCTCTCGTCAAGTACTGTACTGTACTGTACTGTACAGTACAGTACAGTACTTGCAGTTACAGATCGACCGCGGACTTTGTTCCAACCCCTCATAATCCTGCGCATTTTCCCTTTCGTCGGCCCTGGCCTTTGGCTGCGAAACTGCGCCGCAATATTGTACTGTACTCGGTTCTCTGGGTCGAAGTCAAGGTCTTTCGGGGCTTCATTGAAATCCTCCCACATTTTTTTTTTTTTTTTTGCTGGCATGGCATTTTAAAAATACTGTACCACGCCCCTCTCCTTTCGTCGATTTTGTAATTTTCTTCTGAAACATGCAATGTTGGGCTAATGTCGTCAGCTGACGACCTCTTTTAATTAGATTAGAGCAGGTGTGCTTCTGCTTTTTTCAAGCGTTATTTTACCCCCCCCCCCCCAAAAAGAACCCCCACTGAAAGTCTTTTTTCGATGGTATTGTTGGCGAACATGTGTTTAAAAAAATTGTCGTGTTATGTAATCGTAAACTTTGTTTTAATTTCGAATTATAAATCGTTCTGAGCCTTCGCATTTCCGTCTACAATTATCATTTTAAAAATGCATGCCGTGCTCAGAAATGTATCTTGCGAATGTTCTGACCCGGTGTTATTTCTGTGAGTTTCAGTTTTCTCGGACCTTCTTGCACATGCTGTTTTCCTTCTCTCATGTTGATCAAATGTTCCGTAGGTTTCGAAATAGGAGGAATTCCGTTGGCGAATCCCGCATTATACATTGTCTTGATCCCTTCCGGAATGAACCATAATCCCTGAGCGAGCTGGCATCGTTCTATTCCAACTCAGTAGGGGTTCCAGCTGGGGTGGAAAACGCATGAATGGGGTATAGAGCATGAAATGTAACACAGCACAACGGTATCTCGACTGTGTACAATCTACTTCTGCACCAAAGAGTGTAACACAGGAGTTTGATTATAAATGTGGAAGGTAATCTATGATGTTTTCCCTGAACTTTCTTTCGAATCAGTCCAACTGTGTTTTCTGTGACATAACATGGGTTTGCGGATGCTTCGTTCACCCTCGTGTTCATTATTGACGGAGCCAGAAGAAGATGACGACGAACTAAAAAAAAAAAAAACTCCTGGAAATTTTTTGAATTTGATAATGTTCACTCATTAATGTTCACCCTGGCTTGAAGATAAAGCGGGAACTGCAGTAGTTATGTCGTGATTATTTTATCCTGGTTCAATTTTAACCCGTTTTTATTAACTCGCTTTCTTGTCTGTTTATTTTTGAAAACGTGGTTTTTTAGATTAATTTTTTAATCTACTAAATTTTTTTTTACACCAATGCTTGGAATCTCCTGGAGTGATAAAGGGGACATTCTGTGTCCCAAGTTAGCGATATTAATTTTGATTGTGAGACATTTATGCAGAATTTACGGAAAAATTTTCCCAAGAAAAAAAGTGGTACAAGGAAAATAATGTGTGAGCTGGAATTGTTCGACTCTTGGCGATGAATACTGTATTTGCCGAACTGCTTCTGGAAGTCAGACACATAATTCCCACCATCTTCTATTTGTCTCGTCTTTTATTTTTATTTTTATTTTGTTGCTGTCCTCAATGGAACCCATCCGCCCCAGGCCAGTCGAGCGAGGATCCTTGGAAGATATTCTGTTTAGAGGAAAACAGCCCTGTCGTGTTTTCCTCGGCCGGGGATGACGGATGAAATTCCTGTCCATTATGAGGTATTTCCCGAGGCGATGGGACGTATTGCAATGTCGGCTCTGTCACCGATGAAAATTCCGAATATTTCTTCCCTCCTCAACGTAAACCTCTGACGGATTTGGTTCCCCGAAAGAAAATATTACATTTCATCGTCAGTACTTTCTATGCTGGTGCGACAGTGTTTTTTTTTCTCCTCTGGAATTTTATGGCTATATTTGCTATTGAACAGCAACTCGTCTATGGGAAATGCGCTGTGAAAAGCCCCGTATTTCATCGAATTCGGTAGTTGAAATCACATTGATGCCTCGTAAAATGAACCTAACGAACAACTGAAAGTCCTCATAACGAAGCGAAATTGAGGCAAGGTGCCTTGCTGCGACAAAAGGAGAACGAAGAGGGAGGTGTTCTCAATTTGTTGAGGGTCTCTGTAATTTTTTTGTTATTTTATGCGTCAGAAAGGATTCTTTTTTCTTCATTTGGTCGTGAATTGCAGTAAGATTGAATATTGGATTTTTTGTTTTACTCAAATGGTACATTTTTCTATCAGAAAAGCGTGAAAACTAAACAATAAAGGGATTCGGATTGTTGATCGAAGCATCGCTGTACAAATGATAATGTTGATTCCCCCCGTGATGATGGCATAGGAATAAAAAGTCCGAATACGAGTGAATTGAATGAAAACTGTCTGCTTTTGCAAAAGTATTCGTGATGCTAGAGAAGGAATGAGATGACTTGAGTTATGGACGAAATGTGCAGCACCTTTACCGGAGACTGTACTGTACTTGGTTCTCTCCGGAACTTCGTTCACCGTTACAAAAAACTGAGGAGTAATCCAATTTCCACCGCCATCCCCTCACTTACGGAACAAGCCGATGCAGTTTCTCCTTCCAGAAGTTTATTCAATTTAGAAACATATGTCATGATAAAAACCAGTCTGCAAATTTAGTGAGTTTAGAATGCGATTTGGAAGTTTTTGGTTCTCATTAGACGCGCGAGGATTTTCCTTATACGCCTTGACGAGAATTAAGTACAGGTGGACTCTCTCTCTACGACGATATTCAAGGGATCAGAAAAAAATGGTCATGTAGGGAGAATTTTCTTATACCGAGCATATCGTTGTGTACAAGATTTTTGAAGAGAGAGAGAGAGATAACCCACTTTTTGATTGACAGCGAGGAAAATTTCGTTTACAGAAGCTGCAATTTTAAAGTTACCTAATAAGCATTCAAATTTTGAAATGTTGTTTTGATACCAGGTCTTTTCTGAACATGGCTTTCAATATGTATTTGCTATATTGTATTGTACACTTACTCGTTTGAGCTTAGCTTTCTACGTCTTTCTGCGTCCGGTTTTTTTTTCTTTCTTCAATGAAACTCGCCGGATCATGCATTTTTGAAAATAAATCGCTTCAATGTGTTCCGTTTTGAAACTTTTAATGTGGAATTTTATTTTAATTCGAATTGTACTGCACACTGGATGATGCTGCGTGTTGAAATGTCACGGGTAACGATTCCACATCATTCGTCAACTTGATCCTGTTGAGAAAAATCCTATTTTATCTGTGAAACCCTGAAGCAGAAGGTCTAAATATATTTTTTGTTCGAGCTGCTTTCAACTCAGAGAGCTTTTGGCGCACTGTTTGTTGTTTTTATTTTGTGTGTGCCAAATTCAACCAATTAATGCACCGGATTTCAATATTGGATTCAGGATGCAGAAGTTTGAATATTTTTATTTTTTTAAAAAATCGTTCCTCGTCTCTTTTTTTTGCAGTCCACGCTGTCACAACCGACATCGACGATGGCTGCGTCGGGCCCGAAGGCGACCAGCAGCGGCGGGAACCTGACGCCATACTACAACGACGAAGAGGCGTCCCGGCCGCGGTCCGGCTCCGATGGGCCATCCGCCCATCGGAGCGTGACTGTGAGTCATCACCCGCACGGCCACGGGCCACCTTCGGGCGCCTACCGGTCCCCGGTGGCCAAGATGTTTGATTCCGTGTTTGGCAGTGGCCGGAACCGGTCCAACTCCCTGGCTGCATCGACTGCCAACGAGGATCACAGACGCAAGATTGTTGTTCAGGTGAGTCCTGTTTCCTGCATTCTGCGGTCTCGCGTTCTTTTTTTTTTTTCCGGAGCACTGGGTTTGGAAGAGAGGAAAAAAAACAGCAGCGTTTCCTATATACAATTCCTTGAAACCTTCGAAAAAATAACGATGAATATTTGTCGCAGGAGGTGTTCTTAGGCGGTATTTTTTTCTTGTTGTGATCCTTTTGGCGACTGAGAGCGCCGCATGAAAAATGAAAGACCTTGCAAGTTTTTCGTACAATACATCGGGTAGAAAACTAGCAAATGAAAAAATTTGAAGAAAGAGCTGATATAAATAATTTCCAAGTTGACGTTTACCGAACGGGGATATATTTTACGTATGATTATCTTCTGAGGCGTTGTTAGCGTTGGTATCGTTATTATATTTGTTTAAAAAAATATTCGATCCTGTCAATTATTCAGATACCGAAATTGCAGACCCAACCCTCAGTTTACCATTTCTGTATCATTGTATTCATTTTCGTCGTGTCCCGGATTGCTCGTTTTACAAAAGATGGGGTTTTAAGGAAAAAGTCCTCTAAGAGGCCTCAACAAAGATGCTTTCAATTGCCTTCGTCCAATTATTTTTTTTTTATGCAGCGAAATTCGTGCTCTGACCTTTCCAGTACGAATGTATGTCCAAAATTTATCCAAAAGCCCGAATATTGCATCGATTCAAATCAGTCGCCGTATGATGCTTGGAATTTGTAGCGTCTTACGAAAACCCCTGTAATTCTGGAATCAAGATCCATTCGAAAGTTTGTCGAGTTCACAATATGCTTTGTGCACATCTTGTCGTGCATTTCTGGATCTGCTTCTCTTCTAACAGGAGTCGACTATCGTCATTTTGTCAAGTACTGTATCTATAAAAGTAGAGCCTGTCCTAGTTCAGACTTGCATAACCTGCCTGCGAAGATTTCCATTATCCAGGTAGATGTCGCGCAATGGGGAAAACTTAGAATTAGATCGTGCCCATTTCGGGGGGCGCCCGTTGCCGTTCTTTATCATGATGGAGTGTTCTGTCTACTGTCGTTTGTTGTTGTTGTTGCTAATTGTGATCCGAGCGTTATTTGTGTCATCAAACTACATTTCAACTTTCATTATTTTTCAACTTTCAATCAACGGCAATGCGAACCTCTTATTTACGTTGCTCTGTAGGATGTTTCCTGAGCATTGAATCAGTTGTGATGTGAAGTATCCTGCAAGGTTTATTTCTTTATTGACGGATGTACCGATAAAGTGATGCAGTTGGAAATTCGTATGACTGCAACAGAAAGAAACGCAGTGACAAGTAACTGGAAGAATAATGTTATGCATTAATTAACTTTATCTCTGAGAATCTTTAAAAACGCTATTGAGTTATTTTTTGTCGTGTTGAATTACTTGAATATGAAGGTTAAGTGCGAGCTTGCCTCTGACCAGATATTCTGTGAAGAATATCAAGTTTAAAATAAATTTGAACTCGTAGCTTACCATAGTACATGTAGGAAACAATTCCCACGTCCTACAAGACGCAAGGTTACCGAAGGAAATTTGATGCACACAAAAGTGCGCATCACGTGATCACCGGGAATTCTGGTGATCACGTGATAATCAGCACAGCACTCTCTTTTCCCCACCCGGTTTGAATGGTGCAATCCTCTTCCTCCTGCTACCCTTTTTTTCCTCTGATCTAAACAGTCTCTCAGATACTCTCATTGCAGTAAGATGTCTAAAGAATTGCTGTCTGTTAAAATATTGGAATATTTTGTGATTGATACTTTTTCATGTGAAATACATTTATTCTTGTCTTTTGGGATTCTACTGAGAATCCCCTGCCCTGTTCCCGGGCGGATTGTTTGTTCTCATTTATTTATTGATTCAATATTCATTCTTTGTGGGCTTCTGCCCTACAG